ATGGTTTGGGGTGGGAGGGACCTTTAAAGRCCATCCAGTCCAACCCCACCTGCCATGGGAAGGGATATCTTCCATTAGATCAGGTTGCTCTGAGTTCCATCCAACCTGCTCTTGAATGTTTCCAGGGACGGGGCATCCATCCCATCTCTGGGCAATCTGTGTCAGTGCCTCACCAGCCTCACAGTAAAAAATTTCTTCCTTGTATCTAGTCTGAATCCCTTGTTTCTCCCCTAGCCCCTCCACTCATCTCCTTCTTACAGCCCTTCCCATCCCCATCCTTCTTTCCAGCAGAGCCACAGGTTCTCCAGTACCTCCTGACCGGCCTCTTTGCTGACATGGCCTCTGCTGAGGTGTCAGCAACAGCAGCCCTGGGGGATGTGCCCATCTTTGCACTGGATCCTGCCAACTGGAGCATCCACTTCCACTGGCCCTGGGTCAGCCAGGCTGCGGCCGAGGGTGACACCGAGAAGCTGATGTCCCAAAGTAAAATGGCTCTGCGCAATATGGTCCGATACGTGCATGACAAAGTCCAGCAGACAGAAATGGACTGTGAGTATGGGAACAACTCCAGTCAGAGCCCTGGCACCTCTCCCCAGGTTCAGGTTGTGCCCTCCTCCACCAGGGTGGCATCTGGGGGGGGGGTTTCATAGGGTGCAACAGCTCCTGAAAGTGTAACGCTGCAGCTGCTGGGGCATATGACTCACAGGACTGGGGAAGGCAGCAGACCTGAAACCCCTTGGGGCTTCTGCCATCTGGCACAGGGAACCCCCTCTGCACACCAGGGAGTTGCCACAAAATTTCCTGGGGCTGCAGGACACACATAGCAAAGATCATGAAAGAGAAAATTGAGGGCAAATATTTTGGGGCACAGTATTCTTTTTAAACAAGCACCCCCCACACTAACTGGCCTGGTATTCACTCCATCCTTCCAAGGGGCCTGAGGGTTTGCAAGGTGTCTGGGGTTTCCTGAAGCATGGCCCCGTGCCCTGCTACCCATTGCACCCTGCTACCCATTGCACCCTGCTGCCCATTGCACCCTGCTGCCCATTGCACCCTGCTGCCCATCACACCCTTCCACGTGCCCTCAGTCACGTCCCGCCTCGTGCCACCCATGTGCCACACACTCACGGGACCTCTCTGCTGGCTTTGCCCTTGGCAGACCCTCTGGTGGTCCAAATCCGTGCGGGCTGTGAGCTGCACCCCAACACATCAAGCTGGGGCTTCCTGCGTGTCGGGGAGGGTGGCAAAGACCTTGTAGCTTTTGAGGTGGATGAAGAGCGCTGGGAGATGCAGCAGACATCCCAGCTGGCAGAGCAGGTCATCACAGACCTAAACAGAGCGACGTCCGTCAAAGTACTCCTGGAGTACCTCCTGTCCTTCATCTGCCAGAGCCAAATCCGCACCCTGAACAAGTACGGGAGGGCCACTCTGGAGAGACAAGGTGAGACCACCCTGACCCTGCCACAGCCCCCCCAAAGCCCTGGGGCCAAGCCGTGCCCAACCAGGGCTTCCCCCACCCGTTGCTCCCACCCCCCAGAGCTGCCCGTGGCCACGGTCTTTGCCCGCACGCCCAGCCCACACCAGCTGCTGCTGGTTTGCCACGTCACCGCCTTCTACCCCCGGCCCATCAGTGTGGCCTGGCTGAGGGATGGCCAGGAGGTGCCTCCGGGCCCGCAGCTCAACACCAGCCCCATCCTGCCCAACGCTGACCTCACCTACCAGCTCTCCAGCGTCCTGGCCGTGGCCCCCCAGGACGGGCACAGCTACGCCTGCCGCGTGCGCCACCGCAGCCTGGGCACCCGCAGCCTCCTCGTCCCCTGGGGTAGGTGCCACCCGTGGGCACGGGAAGGGGCGCCCCAGCCGCCCACCCGCTGCCATGGAGCAAAGCCCGGCAAGTTCATGGCAGCCCCTCCTTATATTGCCCAGGGAACTCCCACCTGCTGCTGATCACAGGGCTCCTGGCCGGGCTGCTGGCAGCCGGGGCTCTTGCTGCCCTGCTGCTGCGTTGCCTCTGGAGACGCAGGTGAGTCTCCTCCTGCCCCACACAGCAGCACAGGGACAGGAGGGGAGGGGATGCCCCAGGGGAGTTCTGCACTGGGCAGACGAGCTCCGCCTTCAGCCCTGCCAGCTCCTCTCTGCACCCCTACAAGGTCTCTGCCGTGCAGCAGCCCTCAGCTGTCCCCCTCTCCTTTCAGAAAGCACCAGGGACAGAGGAATCACAGTCCAGGAACTCCATCCTGAGCAAAGAAGCTTAGCCCAGAAGGGAGACAACTGTCCCCGTTCCCTCTTGGCACCTCTCAGCCAACAGGGACAAGAATTACCTTTTTCTGCTTCAAGATTGCAAGACTAACTCGACTCAGAGATGCAGGGAAGAAACCTGGGTGGCTTCTGACTCACTTGAATTTGCTAAGGAGACACAGACACAGGTCTGAGACCTCCTCACTTTTTACACCTCTTGTGCCACTGGCTTAGACACCCACTGAGGCTCTAGGGCACCTAAATGCCCAGAGGCAATTTCTCCCACTTCTGCTACAAGAACACTTTGATCACTAGGTGGAAAGCTGTACCCTTCCACTTCCATTTTCTAGATGATTTGTTTTCCTAAAAACTGCCTTGATTAACCATATTCCAGAAGTCTTTGTGCTGAGACTGAACTGTTCCACGCAGACTAACAGAACCTGGCC